GGTATCGGTTAACTTTTACGAGTATAAGTACACACACATTTTACAGTATCGCCCCGATACCCGATACCAATATTGGTATCGGTGCATCCCTAATTAGAACTGTCCATGTATGTAATAAACTGTAAATACACAAAGACAAATATAAAAAATAATCCCTGTGCTGATCAAAACAGAAATACAGAATATTATGTGTGACACAGTTTGTTTCATGTTAACTAGGGTTTCATGATATTTGATCATTTACATATTTCCATCTTTAAATTGTTCTGATTCAGTCATTTTTACTTTTATGTTCTTGTTCTAAACTGAACTGCAGCGAAACCAAAGGCTGAACTGAGAGCTGATAGGACAGCTGTTCCAGTAGGGGGCAGTGTGACCCTTACCTGCTCTGTGAACCCATCATCATCATCATCATCATCGTCGTCATCATCTGGATGGAAATACTACTGGTACAGAGATGGGAAATCTTCTGAATCTATGACAAATGGACAAATCAGTGTCTCAGAGGGAGGACGCTACAGCTGCAGAGGAGGAAAAGGAGAACCAGTTTACTACACAGAGTACAGTGAGTCAGTCTGGATTGACAAAATTGGTGAGTTCAAACTTTAAATTTCCCACAAAGCACTACATCTGATGGTAACTGAACCTTTTGTCATTCATGTGTTTTTATTGTACTTTCTTGAACATTAACAGTGTCAAACTGGCCTGTTGTGACTCTGTATCCAAACTGGTCTGAGATATACAGAGGAGAGACGATCACTGTCAGATGTGAGATCCATGGAGGAGACACTGAGTGGGATTATGAGTGGGAAACAAACAGCATCATAAAACCTCCAAATCAAAATGAATACAGGATTAGATCTGCTTCATCATCCAACAGTGGAAACTATCGCTGTAAGGGCAGAATGAAAAGTTCACAGAATGAAACAACAGAGTGGAGTGATTCAGTCACACTGACAGTTTCTCACAGTAAGTTGAAGATGTTTTATCCAGATTATCTCTTTTATTAAAATAAGTGAAAACACTTGTTTCTCTTAAAGCTTTGCAGCTGTTTCTTTCGTGCTTTTGAATGAAATGTTTGTTTTTATTCTCTGGTCATCTTCTTGTTGCACTGGAGACATTTACAGATAGCTAAAAGTAGAATCTCAGTTCACACGAGCACTTTACAACTAGCAGCGCTAAAATAACAGACCAAAGAGCAGAACTTTGTTTATGGGAAACAGAAAACTGAAATATAGAAAAACCTTCCAGTGCACATTAATTTATAATCAAAGTCATAGAATAATATAAATAAAAGTAAAAGTCACTCACTAGACCTGCAGAGTGGCTGGTTAGGAATAGTCAGTAACACAGTGAGTTACCAGTACAACAGCAACACAATGAATGGAATTACAACACTGAAAGCACAAAATCAGCTGTCCACAGATTTACAGAGAAAACCTTTCACAGTCACAGTCTGGTGTGGAATCAGTTCTTGGGTTAAGTCCTCTGTGTGTCGGAGAAACAGAGATTATGGTGGAGTCCTACCACAGTTCAGAAGTGTGAGTCAGTTTCCTGATCTCTGGATAAGTTGATCCATCAGGAACAGAAGACTTTAGTGGAAGTTCAGATCTCCTAGGCGTGGATCACTATCGAGGTTCAACAGTCTCAGGTTTTAGCACCAAGATCTGCACTCGGCTAATAAACCTGATCTGTTTTGCAACACAAACACTGAAGTCTTATTCCAGCATTCCTAACAGCTCAGTTGGAAATCACATCCAAACTGCTCCCTGTAATGTCAGCGGTGACGTTCACCGTGCTTATTATTGTGGCCTAAAGAAATCTGTGCGACAGGAAATGTAAGATTCCACAGCAAAAGAATATAAAACACACTTACTAGGTCTCATCTTAGCTATCAGAGGCTTTAACATCAGATTTAGTAAAGAACAAGCACATAGCATGCTAACTGACACCAAAGCAAACCAACTGTGACTCACCAAATCCTCATTCAAACTCCATCAAACAGATTTTATCCACAAGCACTGAAGTTGGACACCATCACTGTCAAAGAGTGGAAATAAAAATGTGTTCACAACTTGCTTTGTTGATGAATCTCTTCCCCTCACTCAGGTTTCTCCTGCTCGCTGTGGTTACACTGATTGGTTGTCACTAGTAGATTTGATAAAGGAACAATACACGAAAAACAGAAGTACAAAATAACACCAATGAAATCATAACTGCTCACATTCATTTAGGAGCAATTCTCAAATGTTCAAAATACAATCAGATCCAGGCGCCGTTTTTTTTTTTTTTGTTTGTTTGTTTGTTTTTGTACTTATTTATTTTACCATACAATACCACCTTTATTTATAAAGCACTTTAACATAAAACCAGAGTTCACAAAGTGCTGTACATGCAAATAGCATAAGTAAAGTAAAGAAAATTAAAAATAAGATCAAATAAGATCAAATAAAAATAAATAACTAAATAACTAAAATAAAATAAATATAAATAAAATAAATAAAATAAAAATAAATTAAAACATGTTAAAACAAATTGAGTCAACCCCTTTCATCAGTGCCAAAGGCTTCAGCGATTAAATATGCTTTAGGAAAATGTTTAAACTCAGAAAGAGAAGAGACGTGCCTAACGTGCAAGGGCAGATCCACAACATTCCACAACAACTGTTAGTCTTTCTCTAACTGCTGGTATGTTTACTCATAGCAACAGTTTTTTGATTTGATCATCTTGTAATTCCCAAATTAAATATCATGAATTTATGGCAAAGAAAGAATTAACTTTTTTTTCTGAATGAAGATTATTTGGATATATTGGAGGTTTAACAGCATTGTTTGCAAACAACAGCTAACTTACAGCTCATAGGTTACACGTTCATAAATGTATAAATATGTAAATGCAAATATGTAGAAATAAGTAAACAGTCAAATATAAAGATCAATAAATTACCTGGTTTAATTTATTTAATAAAAACAAAAAGTTTTATTATTGATTTTCAAGTCAAATTATCAGTCCGCTAATGATATCTGTTTATTTGAACAGCTCCTCCTAAGCCCACTGTGACCCTGCAGCCATCCAAGACTCAGATATACAGCGGTGAGACAGTCACTGTCAGATGTGAGATTCATGGAGGTGACAGAGCTCAGTGGACGTATGAATGGAGACCAGCGAAGTTAAACACACCTCCAACATCCGGCGAATACACAATCAGCAGCGCTGCTGAGTCTGACAGTGGAGGATACAGATGCCGGGGCATAAGAGGCTCTTCTTGGACCGAGTGGAGTGATGTCATCACATTGTATGTATTATGTAAGTTGGACATATTTCACCTTTGTTTTTAATTTCTATTGCACAACGTTTGATGCAAAAACACAACAAAATATCATGTCTTTCAATAAAACTGCAGGCTTTGCTCTCATTTTAGTATCAAAAATAGTGTAAAACAAGTTTTACATAAAATCTCATAAATCCACAGCAATCACTCACAGTGAAACTGTTATGATACGGCTGTGTGGCAGGGAGGATGTAGGACACAAACGCAAAACAATCATCAGAGGAATGAACTTAAAAGGTTGCTTTATTGCAGTGGTACAATTTTCACGAAAAGAAAAAAAACTTGCAAAAACAAAATGAAACTAAAAACTGGGAACTAATAACAAAAACACTGGGAAACCTGTAAACTAGTGACAGAGATCTCAGGGAGCACGAAAACACGCAGCGTGGTGAGGGGACGACGTGACACTGAGAGAGAGAAACACAGGTCTGAAATACACTGAGCGAAACGAGGGAATAAGACACATGAGGGGAGAACAGTCGAGACCAGGATGAAGCAAAACTAGAAACAGTGACAAAGGACAAGCGACCGTCAAAGTAAAACAGCAAGTATAACACAGACACGGACTAGACACAGAACAAAGGGAACACGGAGCACAGAGACCAGAGAGACTAGGGTGGGTTTTGATGATCTATTTCCCGATTAAAATCGATTCTAGCTTGAATAACTTGATATCGCTTCAATAAAATCCTGAATCGATTTTCTAAATATAAATGTATTTTGTCCGAAACGCGAGAATCTCAGGTTAAACCACAAGATTTCAACAGCCACCAACCAGCTAAAACAGTAAATGAGAGCAGGCACCTGCTGTGACGCTCACACCTTTGATAAAGTCTCACAAGTGTCAGCTTTGTTTTTATAGATAAAAAAAAATATGGATATGTACTGATAAGTGATCAGAATTATAATATTTCTGACTGAGGCAAAATTTCCCTGATTCAAATCGAATCGACTTCTAGAAATCAGTGACGATACCCAACCCTGGACACGACTGACTGGGGAACAAGAAAATACAGTGTTCCCTCATTTATGTCAGGAGTTAAATTCTAAAAAAAAATCCATGATAGGTGAAATCCGCGAAGTATCCAACTTTATTTTTTACAATTATTATAGATGTTTTAAGGCTGTTAAACCCCTCACTACACACTTTATTCACTTTTCTCAGACAGGCACAAACATTTTCACATTTTTCTCTCTTGTTTAAACACTCTCAAAGTTTAAACCTTCTAGAAAAATAAGTCAAAAATTAAAGAATGAAACCAAAGGCACCCGCGGTTGCCTTTGAGGGTGCAAAACGTTTCGTCGCCAGTATTGTGTTTGTTGGGGAGAAAACTTACAAACATGCAGTGCAGCACTTCAGAGTCACACTGCTGGCGATCAAAGATTTATGTAAATTTGACAAGCTGAACGCATTCTGTACTGGACAGCAGCGGTCCTTTATCGCAATCTTTCTTGCTCTACGGACCGGATAATGTCAGACAGTATTTTCACGGACCGGCCTTTAAGGTGTCACGGATAAATACATCAAATTAAAATGATACGGCCAAGACAAAAACTGTGGTGTTTTGTAGATTTAATAATAAACATGAATTCACTGTGTAATTGTGTAACTTTATTAGCAGCGTCCTCCTCAAATGCGCCAACAACATTGAGAGTAAGATCCTCCTCCTCTCTCCTTGATGATTTCTTTCAAAATAAGACACAAAACTACAAAAAGATAAAAAGAAAGTACATGAAAATATATAATTCACCATAACGCTGAATCAGTGAGAGCCCTGTGCTTGTTTCTTTGCAACAAGCCGGTCCCACCTGGGCATAATGGGGGACAGTGACACCTAAAGTGTGTTGCTTTTGCTCAGTCTGCTCCGCAATTTTGTTTTGGAAGCTGTAACTGCAGAAAACTCCGCTTCACACAGTTATGATGTCGGAAATGGCAACAGGCTTTTTAGTGCTGTTGTGGCAATCTCGGGGTATTCTCGGGCTACACCGGCAAAGCTCATAATTTACTCATAACAACCAGGAAAAGATCCAGGGAAACCGAGTTAACAATAAAAACTCTGAAAACAATAAATTTCACACGCCAGTCTCAACTCTCGTTGCCCGGTACCAAATGACTCGCGGTCCTGGCGAGGCCCCGAAAGGTGAATTGCATTGTAGCGAGGGAGGGACCACTGTAATACAAAACCAAAACACTGGTTCACAGACCCAGGACTGTGACAGAAGCATGTGGAGTTGAAAGACATATTCAGAAAATTTAATGAAAAATGAAACACAAATGTAATGATCCCAGTTTATTCAGCTCAGATGTTGCACATGTGGAGTTTTCATCAGTTTTCAGCAGAGTGGAAGCAGGCAGTGGTTTAACCCACTTTTGTTTAACTCAGTTTTCTCCTGTTTTGTGGACAGCCAGGAAGGTCAGGCATTGCATCTTCCTTTTCTTGATCAGGGAAGTTTTACCCTGTGTTTTGTTTCTAGGAAGGGGGGGAGTTTTTGTTTGTTATTTTGGCCTTGGAGGCCCTGATGCTTTTAGCTTCCTGGCAGCTGTGTTTATTGTGAGTCTTTTCCTTTTTTTCAGCTTTGTAAAAATAAACCCCGTCAATTCAGCAGCAGCTGTGTGGTTTTTGATGCGTTACATACTTTTCCCGTGTTGTTTTGCGTTTCTGTTTTGAGGGGCGTAACAGTCGTTAAATTCTTTCTACATGGTGTTCTTAATGTGAGTGAATAATCCAGCACAGCCAATTTACAACATAGATACATATTAAACAGGTCAATACTGATAGATAGATACTTTATTGATCCACAAAGCAAATTGTGTTAGAGCAGCATGATAAAAAGTGAAAATAGGGCCTTACACTATGAGACAGCGCAGGAATTTTTATATTTATAACAGTGAAAAAGAAAAGTAAAAATTTAATTTGTTAAAAACAGTTAA